CAGGCATCGGCCATACAGTGCGCTGCCTGACCGGGAAGTACTGGTGGCCTACCTTGGCTAAGGACGTGAGGGTGTATGTCTCCTCCTGCTCAGTGTGCGCCCAGAGTATGGCACCTAGGCACCTTCCAGCGGGTAAATTACATCCCTTACCAGTTCCACAACGGCCATGGACTCTATTCTCTGTGTATATCAATGATGTCGCTCTTGCTGCTGGTGACTCTCAGATCCACCTCTACGCAGACGACACCATTTTGTATACATCTGGCCCTTCATTGGACACTGTGTTAACATACCTCCAAACGAGCTTCAATGCCATACAACACTCCTTCTGTGGCCTCCAACTGCTCTTAAACGCTAGTAAAACTAAATGCATGCTCTTCAATTGAATGCTGCTTGCACCCGCCCGCCCGACTAGAATCACTACTCTCGGCGGGTCTGACTTAGAATATGTGGACAACTACAAATACTTAGGTGTCTGGTTAGACCGTAAACTCTCCTTCCAGACTCACATTAAACATCTCCAATCCAAAGTTAAATCTAGAATCGGCTTCCTGTTTCGCAAAACAAAGCCTCCTTCACTCATGCTGCTAAACATGCCCTCTTAAAACTGACTATCCTACCGATCCTTGACTTCGGCGATGTCATTTACAAAATAGCCTCCAACACTCTACTCAGCAATTTGGATGTAGTCTATCACAGTGCCATCCATTTTGTCCCCAAAGCCCCATATACTTCCCACCATTGTGACCTGTACGCTCTCGTTGGCTGGCCCTCACTACATATTCGTCGCCAAACCCACTGGCTCCAGGTCATCTATAAATCACTTCTAGGCAAATCCCCGCCTTATCTTAGCTCATTGGTCACCATAGCAACACCCACCTGTAGTATGCGCTCCAGCAGGTATATCTCACTGGTCATCCCCAAAGCCAACACCTCCTTTGGCCGCCATTCCTTTCAGTTCTCTGCTGCAAATGACTGGAACGAACTACAAAAATCTCTGAAGCTGGAGACACTTATCTCCCTCATTAACTTTAAGCATCAGTTGTCAGAGCAGCTTACCGATCACTGTACCTGTACACAGCCCATCTGTAATTAGCCCACCCAACTACCTCATCCCCATATTGTTATTTACATTGTTATTTATTTTGCTCATTTGCACCCCAGTATCTATATTTGCACATCATCTTCTGCACATCTATCACTCCAGTGTTAATACTAAATTGTAATTATTTTGCACTATGGCCTATTTATTGCCTTACCTCCTAACTTACTACATTTGCACACACTGCATATACATTTTCTATTTTCTATTGTGTTATTGACTGTACGTTTTTGTTTATTCCATATGTAACTCTGTGTTGTTGTTGTTTTTATCGCACTGCTTTGCTTTATCTTGGCCAGGTCGCAATTGTAAATGAGAACTTGTTCTCAACTGGCTTACTTGGTTAAATAAAGGTTAAATAAAAATAAAAATAAAAATCGATCGATTTTCTAACTGATCTTACCCTCTCTCAGGGTAACACCACCATCCTGGTCGTTGTGAACCGCTTCTCTAAAGCCTGCCACCTCCTTCCTGTTCCCGGTCTCCCCACCACCCTGCAAACTGCGGAAGCCCTGTTTACTCTCGTCTTCCAGCACTACGGTGTGCTAGAGGACATAGTGTCTGACCGGGGTCCCCAGTTTATATCTAGGGTCTGGAAGTCATTCATGGAACGTCTAGGGGTCTCAGTCAGCCTGATCTCTGAGTCAGCCACCCCAAATCTAATGGGCAGGTGGAACGGGTGAATCAGGATGTGGGTAGGTTCCTGCGGTCCTACTGCCAGGACCTGCCGGGGGAGTGGTCGGTGTTCTTGCCATGGGCCGAATATGCCCAGTACTCTCTCCGCCACTCCTCCACTAACCTGTCACCCTTTTGATGTGTTTTAGGGTATCAGCCGGTCCTGGCACCGTGGCATCTGAGCCAGACCGAAGCTCCTGCGGTGGACGACTGATTTTGGCGCATGGAGGAGACGTGGAACGCCACCCACGTCCACCTCCAGTGCGCCGTGTGTTGCCAGACGGCCAACGCTGACCGCCACCGCAGTGAGGCCCCGGTCTTTGTACCGGGTGATCGGGTTTGGCGCTCGACCTGGAACCTGTCCTTCCGCTTGCCCTGCCGGAAGGTGAGCCCGCGGTTTGTGGGGCCGTTCAAAGTCATGAGGAGAGTAAACAAGGTTACGTATAGGTTGCTGCTCCCTCCTGATAACCGTATTAATGCTCTCTCCTCAGGCCGGTGGTGTCTGGTCCGCTCCAGGAGTCTGAGGTGCGGGAGGTCCCTCCGCCCCCTCTGGACATCGAGGGGGCCCCGGCATACTCCGTCCGTTCCATCCTGGATTCGAGGCGTCGGGTGGGGGGCCTTCAGTACCTCGTGGAGTGGGAGGGGTACGGTCCGGAGGAGCGGTGCTGGGTCCCGGTGAAGGATGTCCTCGATCCCTCCCTGTTGCGGAATTTCCACCATTGCCATCCGCACCTGGCCGTCCCCGAGGCCGGTGTCGGCACGCTGCTTGAGCTGCTCGTCAAGGGGGGGTACTGTTACTGTCACAACTTCCTCCGAAGCTGCCTCCTCTCCTTGTTCGGGCAGGCTTCGGCTTTCGTCGTCACCGGCCTTCTAGCCAATGCCGCTCCTCTTTTCATCATTCCATTTGTTTTGTCTTGTTTTTCACACACACCTGGTTCATATCCCCTCATCAGTCTCTGTATAAGTATTCCCTCTGCTCCCATTGTCTTTGTGTGTTATTGTTTCCATGTGGAGGTGTGGCTAGCTCGGTTGAGCATTCATGTTACTTTTGTCGCCGGGATATTCACCCATGTGTTTTGTTTTCCCAGTGCGCATTGAAGTCGCACTGTATTTGGTTTTCGCATTGCTGCGAACTGCTGCATTGGACGAATAAACCATATTCTGTGATTCACACCTCCTGTGCCTTACTCTGTCCTCATCACCCGCTACAATGTGGAAACAAACTTTTTTGAGCATCAACAAATTAAAAGGTAAATTTAAACAGTATGGTCCATTTTAAACATTTTAAATAGCCTGCATTATTCACCTGTACATTTTTAGTTTCCTCATAAACCAGGTTTCCATCCAACCTTTTTATGCAAGTAAAGTATACAGTACCAGTCAAAAGTTTGGACACACCTACTCATTCAAGGGTTTTTCTTTATTTTTACGATTTTCTACATTTAGAATAATAGTGAAGACATCAAAACTACGAAATAACACATATAGAATCATGCAGTAACCAAAAAAGTGTTAAACAAATCATAATATATTTTATATTTGAGATTCTTCAAATAGCCACCTTTGCACTATCTTGGCATTCTCTCATCCAGCTTCATGAGATAGTCACCTGGAATGCATTTCAATTAATAGGAGTGCCTTTAAAAAAGTTAATTTGTGGAATTGTTTTCCTTCTTAATGCATTTGAGCCAATCAGTTGTGTTGTGACAAGGTAGGGGGGGGGGGTATACAGAAGATAGCCCTATTTGGTAAAAGACCAAGTCCATATTATGGCAAGAACAGCTCAAATAAGCAAAGAGAAACAACAGTCCGTTATTACTTTAAGACATGAAGGTCAGTCAATACGGAACATTTCAATAACTTTAAAAGTTTCTTCAAGTGCAGTTGCAATAACCCATCATGCTCTATGATGAAACTGGCTCTCATGAGGACCACCACAGGAAAGGAAGACCCAGAGTTACCTCTGCTGCAGAGGATAAGTTCATTAGAGTTACCAGCCTCAGAAATTGCAGCCCAAATAAATGCTTCACAGAGGTCAAGTAACAGACACATCTCAACATCAACTGTTCAGAGGAGACTGTGTGAATCAGTCCTTCATGGTTCCCATGATTTTACATCACTTTATCTGTGGCCAATGACCTTGAGGCTTCTTGGATGGGCACTTCTAATGTAAATCTATGACAGCTCCAAGGGGCTTGAATTTTCGAGCTCTCCCCGTAGATTTTGCGGTGACGTAGTGTCCCCATGAGTGACGGAACACTGAGACAATCACGGCGCAACTAGAGAACATTACCAACCCCTACACTGTATTTTCCGCTGGCTGCCCCACCACCACAGAAACCACTGAGCTAGGCTGAAACACCTACATTTTGGAGCTGCCTTACTCAAGAAAGCAAAAAAGAGACCATGTTTTTATGCGGCTTTATTAACTCAATGATTCTTTTTTACATTGTTTGCAAACTGATATGTGACACGTATAAATGCCAAAATAACATGCAAAACAGGCAACAACAAAAAACAGGTGGGGATCTGGCCTGAGTGATGGGTCGCCACTGAAGGTGTGTCACTTTTGCCACATGAGCAAATGGAAGTGCTCCCCATAACAGAAGACACTGTGGGCCACTCTGTCTATCTAGTGATGAAAGGGAAGCCTGTTGGTGGGATTCAGAGAGTCTGTTTTCTGGAGGAAATAACAACACTCTGCCCCAGAGAGGATCCCATTGATATAATATATGTTTTTATGTGTCTGACCTGCCCCTGGAGATGTATCAGACAGACACAAAATATATATTGAAAAACTTTTATACGTCTCTGAAACCTGTATTTCATCTGGGGATAACTATACAGTCAGTCAAAGAAGAGAGAGGATAGAAGAGAGGATATGAGAGAGCGAGAGAGAGGGAGAGAGAGAGCTTTCACCATTCTCTTTACATAAGAGAGACAACTTGTTTCACCCAGTGAAAACTAGTGTCAGGTTTACGTACGGTTGAAACTATTTGTATTAAAATGCAACAATGTTTACAGTGTAATACAAAAAGAAATACAAATGCAATTATATTGTTGGTTTTTGATCCCAGAAACAATGATTGAATGGTAGCCAACATCTGAGGGTATAATAGCCAGAACAAAGAAGCAAGAGTTCATGCCTCGATGACAAAGCTGTCATCACACTGAGGGTGCTATTTTGTGTCTGTGTGTGTGTCTGTGTGTGTATGTGTGTCCTCTAAGGGATCAGTGGTTGGCTGTCTTTAGGGTTCCTCTGGTCTGCCCCCCTCTCCCAGCCCTGGCGTATGCGGGTGATGGTTCGGTCCACACAGGGGGTGATGAGCAGCAGCTTGAGCAGCAGCACCACAGAGGGAAGGACCAGACACAGCATGTAGCCCGGTGGGGTATACCACTTGTAGGTGGAAGAACGCAGGAACTTGTTCCAACCATACAGGTAGGTGTGAGCCGTACACAACAGCAGAGTCAGGTGACCCAGCTTGGACTGGTGGGGGAGAAAATAACACAAACACATGAACCACACACACACCAGGCACGTGCACAGATATAGGTCTAAGGGTGCCTGAGCACCTGCCCTTTTGTCCTTTGAGAAATGTTTTTATCATAGGTACACTTCAACTGTGAGAGACGGAATCTAAAACAAAAACCCAGAAAATCACATTGTATGATTTTTAAGTAATTAATTTGCATTTTATTGCATGACATAAGTATTTGATACATCAGAAAAGCAGAACGTAATATTTGGTACAGAAACCTTTGTTTACAATTACAGAGATCATACATTTCCTGTAGGTCTTGACCAGGTTTGCACACACTGCAGCAGGGATTTTGGCCCACTCCTCCATACAGACCTTCTCCAGATCTTTCAGGTTTCGGGGCTGTCGCTGGGCAATACGGACTTTCAGCTCCCTCCAAAGATTTTCTATTGGGTTCAGGTCTGGAGACTGGCTAGGCCACTCCAGGACCTTGAGATGCTTCTTACGGAGCCACTCCTTAGTTGCCCTGGCTGTGTGTTTCGGGTCGTTGTCATGGTGGAAGACCCAGCCACGACCCATCTTCAATGCTCTTACTGTGGGAAGAAGGTTGTTGGCCAAGATCTCGCGATACATGCCCCATCCATCCTCCCCTCAATACGGTGCAGTCGTCTGTCCCCTTGCGCTGTAGTCCACCAAATGAATAGAAAAAAGGACATGTCCTTCTTCCAAAGAAAAAACAAGGCAGAAAGTCAGACAGAAGGCATAGTAGAGCAGGAAAGTGAGACAGATGGAGAGACTGAGGCTGAGGGGGACGTAGAGGTGAGACACCTACAGAGGAGCCATGTGCGTCCACAAGCAGTGGGCCATCAGCTTTGGGATGTTGAATAAATCTGTGGTTACTTGTAAAGCAGTGCAATTAGTCCATTTTATATGGTGTATAGAAATGTGTTGGTTTATGATTGAAATTAATGATCTCATTTAACATGCTATTGGGGCATGTGATACAGATATCAGATGGATTTCAGAAGTTGTCTGATGGCTATGGTATGTGTCTAAAATTACCCAAATAGATACTTTTAATTATAGTTTTGTTTTCTTCGACAGATATCAGCAAATTCCGTGAGGACCAGCCAGTGATGGACATGTACCCAATAACTCTGATGGGGGACAGGAGGAGGAGCTTCAAGGCGGCCTGGTACAACATCCACACCTGGCTTGAATATTTAAAAAAAATCAGACTCTGTGTTTTGTTACGCCTGCAGGCATTTTAGCCCTCCCAGAGTCTGAGACTGTATTTGATTCAAAATTGGGTTTTAACAACTGGAAGAAGGCAACTTACAAAGAGGGGGGGATTTGCAATTCATGCAAGGTCTGAGCGGCACAAACAAGCAATGATTACATGGAGAGACTATCAGAAAGCGGTAAAAAGTAATGCAACGCTGGTAAATGCCCTAAACAAGGAACACAACAAACAGGTTCAAGAAAATCGGGACTATATTAAAACAATAGAAATACTACTACTTACAGCCACTCAAAACATTGCACAAAGAGGACACGATGAGTTTGCAGAGTCTGATAATAAAGGGAACTTCATGGCAATCCTAGAAACAATAGCTAAGCATGACACAACTGTGAAAAAAAGGTTGACTTCCATTCATAATGCAAAATACACAAGCAAAGGGATTCAGAATGACGTTCTGAGTTGTTTGGCAGACATGGTTCGAACAAAAATTATAGAAGAAGTGAAAGACAGTGAGGTCTTTAGCATAATGGCAGACGAAACAAAAGATGTAAAAAAAAAAAAGGAGAAGATATCTCTAGTACTCAGGTACTATTTCAGTGGAGCTGTCCATGAGAGCTTTCTCCACTTTGAATCGGCTGATCAACTAGATGCAGCAGGGCTTACTGACAAAATCATACACATATTAGAAAGTCATGGTCTCGAATACAAAAACAACCTAGTAGGCCAAGCATATGACGGTGCTTCAGTTATGAGTGGCAAGCATTCAGGCATCCAAGCATGCATTAAAGAACAAGCAAAGCATGCCTTTTACATCCACTGCAGTGCACACTGTCTAAACTTAGTTTTAGTGGATACAGTCAAACCTGTCCCTGAGGTAGGACAGTTCTTCTCCTTACTAGAAAGACTGTATGTCTTCACATCTGGGTCATATGTGCATCAAAAATGGCTTAGCGTACAAAGAGAGATGTACCTAGGTGCACCTAGAGCGCTTCAGAGACTAAGTGACACTCGCTGGGCATGTCAATATATGGCTCTACATACTATTATGGATAGATTGCCTGCCATTAAGCGAGTCCTGCAAGACATAGTCCAAGAACACAATGGTGACAGATCTGTTGGCACGAGGTCTGCTTGCACAGATGGATTTACAATTCATTGTGTGCCTTGTTACGCTCCATAAAGTTTTTGGAGAAGCAACATTTCTATCAGATATGCTACAGTCTTCATCACTTGACCTGTCAAAGGCTGTTGATTTAGTTGAAGCCTTAGTTCAAACTTTTAATGACTACAGGGATGAGTCAATTTTTGATGACCTATGGAATTAAGTGTTGAACACAGCTGAGCAATGTGAAACTGCAATACAGCCCCCTGCAAAACGACCAAAAAAGCTAAGCTCTCAATTTAATGGAGACTGTGTACTCAGTACAGGAGGTCAGATTCAGAAATAGATAAAGACAGTTTTCTTACAACCTTTTTCTACCTTGTCTTAGATCAGATGAGCTTAACAGAAGGTTCTCTAGCAAAAACTGTGACATAATGAATGGCATCCAAACTTTAAACCCCAAAAGTGATGCATGTCTCAAAAAGAAGTCACTGTTTCCATTTGCTAGAATGTATGAATCAAATATTGAGGACTTGGGGCATGAACTACATAAGTCCAGAAGGTTGTTACAAAGGAAAATACAGAGTGGCATGCAGAGACCCTCCAGTGTAGTAGAGCTAGCATTATTCATTGAGCCTCATAAAGATGTTTTCTTTGAGCTCTTTAAACTGCAAAATAGCTGTTTCAATCCCTGTTAGTACCACTTCTTGTGAAGAGTTTTTCTGCACTAAAGCTGGTGAAAACGTATCTTAGGTCCACAATGTCAGATGAGAGATTAAGCAATTTAGGTGTGTTGAGTCAAGGAGGGCAAAGGCCTTGAATCTAGATTAATTTGCTGATCTTTTTGCAAGAAACCACAAAAAACGTAGAATACAGTTGATGTAACTGATACTGAATATGTAATGCAAATGTAAAAATAATGCAAATAAAAATTGTTGAATGATTATAAACATGGTCTTTTGCCTATTAATGCCTGCAATGCAGGGAAGAAAACAATATGACAACAATAATGTCTAATGTAACTGGCCCCCCCAGTTGAAATGGTCTAGAACCGCCACTGCAGCCAACTAGTGCTAGCTAACGCTACCTAGCAAAAAAAACGAATCGATACATGGGAGTCAAAGTATCAATATAATATCGTCCAAAATAATATTGCGATATGTAACTGTATCGATTTATTCCCCCATCGCTAGTAAAAATGGGCAGAAAATTAGTGCCTAGAATTAGTGTCTGGTCTAAGCATTCAGTGTGTCCAGTCCTGGTGATCCCACCTGTACGAAGCTGAACTCCCTCCAGCTGAGAGCGTTACTGACGGAGGGAAGAGATGTGATTCCTAACAGGACGTACAGGCCAAATCCCAGAATTCCCAGGGATAAGTAGGAGTCGCCACGCCAGGCCATTGTGGTATCAAACTCAGTGGTCCTGTTCTCTCTGATCTGAGAGAGAGAGAAAAAGAGAGAGTGAGAGCAAGAGAGAGGCGTAAACCAGTGTTTATAATCAAAACCAGTGCCTGAATCCTGCTATATACTGTAGGTGTGTGTCCAATGTACCTATGTTTGATCTTAATATGACCAGTATTGTGTCACAGCAAAATAATTCTGCAGCAACAGCATTTGAACGTTTAGTCCGTTCACACTTTTCAGGCGATGTAATGTTACTTGATTGGTGGTTAGGCTATTAGCTGGCCAAAATTAGGCTACATTAAAAGTGCTATACTGTTAAAATATGCTCTGGTGCATTGGCGACTAAGAAAATATTTTTTTAACCTCCTGCTTTGGGCTGGATGTCTCAATGTGTAGTTCATACATTCATAATCTATGAGAATAATTACTTTCTTACCTTGATTAGCCATGAAATACTTAGTTTGAAAGTGACTGTTTTCTTGAAGCTGTGCCGCACCATTTTCCCTACATTTCCCCCATGTGGACCAGCCCCCTAGCAATTTGAGTTCTAGCCAAAAAGTTTCTGCCCCTCGCATTTGAGTGACAGTTAGCAAGTGGCCTGCCCAGCATTAACCAATGAGGTTGCAGGGCGGGCCTAATGGTTCAGTGGTCACAGCAGAGACAGAGAGTAAGCAATGATGTGGTGCACATATCTGCACATATGTGACATAGTATGCGTTTTCGGGGACCACTTTTGGCTGATGAGGGCTACTTTCAGAACTACTGCCTAAAAAGTATACAAAAGTTCAGGAGAATCTCTTTAATAGAACCATGTATTAGCATGAATTTATGTCAATCCTGCAATGCAGGAACATTTTCAGTGACAACAGAGCGATGAAATTAAGAATTGTACACAATTTTGTCTATCCAATGTTCACTGTTTTGAAAGTGTTTACTTTGGCCTTAAAGCTAGGTAGGTGTTCTTACCAGAGAGACAGTGCGTTCAGTGGACTTGAACCTCACATAGTACCTGGGAACAAAATCAATGCTTTCTTTACTAAAAACCAAAGGAAGATACATTTCACTGTGTGTGCGCGCATGCGTGTTTGTGTACATTTGAGTGTGTGCTCCACTGACCGTATGGGTATGATCAGTGTATAGAGCACGTGCAGAAAGGCAAACCCCAGCGCCAGTAGACCCAGCTGTTTCCTGCACAGCATCCAGCGGTCCAGCCAATCAGGGAAGCGCCTGATGTTAAACATACATAAACACTTATAATCAACATAAGTACAATATGGACACCCCTTTTACTGACAGGTGTATAAAATCGAGCACACAGCTATGCAATCTCCATAGACAAACATTGGCAGTAGAATTACCTTACTTAAGATCTCAGTGACTTTCAACGTGGCACTTTCATAGGATGCCACGTTTCCAACAAGTCAGTTAGTCAAATTTCTGCCCTAATTGAGCTGCCCATGTCAACTTTAAGTGCTGTTATTGTGATGTGGAAATGTCTAGGAGAAACAACGGCTCAGCCGCGATATGGTAGGCCACACAAGCTCACAATACGGGACCGCCGAGTGCTGAAGCCATTTGCAATGCCAAGGGTCGGCTGGAGTGGTGTAAAGCTCGCCGCCATTCGACTCTGTAGCAGTGGAAACGCATTCTCTGGAGTGAAGAATCACGCTTTACCATCTGGCAGTCCGACGAACAAATCTGAGTTTGGCGGATGCCAGGATAACTCTACCTGCCCGACTGCATAGCGCCAACTATAAAGTTTGGTGGAGGAGGAATAATGGTCTGGGGCTGTTTTTCATGGTTCGGGCTAGGCCCCTTAGTTCCAGTGAAGGAAAATCTTAACGCTACAGCATACAATTACATTCTGCTTCCAACGTTGTGGCAACAGTTTGGGGAAGGCCCTTTCCTGTTTCAGCATGACAATGCCCCTGTGCACAAAGCGAGGTCCGTACAGAAATGGTTTGTCGGCATCGGTGTGGAAGAACTTGACTGGCCTGCACAGAGCCCTGATCTTAACCTCATGGAACACCTTTGGGATGAATTGGAACGCTGACTGCTAGCCAGGCCTAATCGCCCAACATCAGTGACGACCTCACTAATGCTCTTGTGGCTGAATGGAAGCAAGTCCCCGCAGCAATGTTCCAACATCTAGTGGAAAGCCTTCCCAGAAGATTGGAGGCTGTTATAGCAGCATAGGTGGGACCAACTCCATATTAATGCCCATGATTTTGGATTGAGATGTTCAACAAGCAGGTTTCCACATACATTTGGTCATGTAGTGTACATACGTACGCAACATTGTATGCAAACACACTCCCATACATACACACACACGTCTGACCTGTACTTGGTACCTCTGTAGAGCTGCAGGAAGGAAGCCAGGACACCAGGCAGGTAACAGAGAGACAGCATGATCAGAGACACGATGGGACACACCTGGAGAGAACACACACACACACCTTGAACAGCTGGTAATACACACAGAAACAAACAGAACACAAACACTCAGAGGGCCTGTGGGCCAGTACCTTGTTGGCCAGTGATACCATGATTCTGAAGGAGATGTCTTTGCCCTGGGTGATGTATGAGTAGATGATGTCTCTGATCAGCAGGTAGAAGAAGAAGGCAGCACAGAGGCCGATGGCGATGCGCAGGGGGAGCCTCCACTGGGGGAACAGCTGCAAGGGGAAGTCCTCCAGCTCCCAGGCTGCTGAGAGAGAGCCCCGGTCCAGGGCACTGAAACCCAGCTTGGTGGCTACCGCCATCACCGCTTGCTTGGCCTCCGCACTTTCCCCACAGATATACACCTGACATATATGTGGGGATATATACATATACATACAGTGGGGTCTGAAATTATTGACACCCTTGATAAAGGAGCAAAAATGCCTATATAAAATAATATTTTTCAAATACTGAGCTATATTGTATGCTCCAGAAATGTGGGAAATTATATTATTTTATACTAATACAAGTGCTCAGAGAAATATTTTTTATTTAACAAGTAATACAAAAATCTTTTAAAGGTACGGGTCAAAATTATTGACACCCCTGTTTTCAATACCTTTCAATAGCTCACTTTGCGAGGATAACGACACTGAGCCTGTTAAAAAAAAATGTAAATGCCTGGAGTTTGCAAAATGGCATTGGCACTTTGATTGGTACAGGTGCTTTTGTCAGATGACGTTGTAGATTTGGTGTTGAAAAACAAGCATATGCAGAAAAGTACTTCAAACCCAATATTTGACTAGTTTCAGGACACTAGGCATACGTCACACGTCACTACTTCACAGGAGAGGCATTTGATTGTAAACAAACAAACAAAAAAAAATAATAATAGTTTTGTGGCAGAAATGCCTTCTGGAACATATGAACTTTCATGTGCCTTAATAACAAACTTGTATGCCATCTGTAAATACAAATACAATTGTTAAATTACGAGCCAAGTTGGTTTAGGTACGGAAAAAGACAGGAACCTTCCCCCTAGCCATGATTGGCTGAGATAATGGATGGGCTGGACATGCCGAGAGATGAGTTCGGATTGGTTGCCATGTAGGACGCTTCTGTCTATAACATGAGCTGGCCAGTATGTGTAGGTAATCCTTTCTAACGCTGCTTTTTTGAAAGATATCACGTAGTAGAACTGCAAAAGTGTTGTTCTCTACTTTCTGGAGGACCGAGTTTTGAAATCAGTGGAATGTGCCCTGTGGAATTAGATGATGATCGCTAAGAAGAAATTCTGCCGTTTGATTGCAAATATGCAGGAGTCGAAAAGAGAACACCCAGAAGGCTGTTGTATAAAACACCTGTCTCCGGATTACATCTTCAAACTAAGGGCAACCATGGCATCCGTGACAGACAGGGAGAAGCGTCCATCCATGTATACGGGTAAGATAGTCTAGCTAGCTACATTTTCACATGTTATACGTTTATTTTTATTTATTTTTTTACCTTTATTTAACCAGGTAAGCCAGTTGAGAACAAGTTATCATTTACAACTGCGACCTGGCCAAGATAAAGCAAAGCAGTGCGATTAAAAACAACAACAACAAAGAGTTACATATGGGATAAACAAAACGTACAGTCAAAAACACAATAGAAAATCTATATACAGTGTGTGCAAATGTAGTAAGTTATGGAGGTAAGGCAATAAATAGGCCATAGTGCAAAATAATTACAATTTAGTATTAACACTGGAGTGATAGATGTGCAGAAGATGATGTGCAAATAGAGATACTGGAGTGCAAATGAGAAAAATAAATAACAATATGGGGATGAGGTAGTTGGGTGGGCTAATTACAGATGGGCTGTGTACAGCTGCAGTGATCGGTAAGCTGCTCTGACAACTGATGCTTAAAGTTAGTGAGTGAGATAAGTCTCCAGCTTCAGAGATTTTTGCAGTTCATTCCAGTCATTGGCAGCAGAGAACTGGAAGGAATGGCGGCCAAAGGAGGTGTTGGCTTTGGGGATGACCAGTGAGATATACCTGCTGGAGCGCATACTACGGATGGGTGTTGGTATGGTGACCAATGAGCTAAGATAAGGCGGGGATTTGCCTAGCAGTGATTTATAGATGACCTGGAGCCAGTGGGTTTGGCGACGAATATGTAGTGAGGGCCAGCCAACGAGAGCGTACAGGTCACAATGGTGGGTATTGATATACACAGAGAATAGAGTCGGCCCGAGAATTGAACCCTGTGGCACCCCCATAGAGACTGCCCTCCAGACAACAGGCCCTCCGATTTGACACATTGAACTCTATCTGAGAAGTAGTTGGTGAACCAGGCGAGGCAGTCATTTGAGAAACCAAGGCTATCTAGTCTGCCAATAAGAATGTGGTGATTGACAGAGTCGAAAGCCTTGGCCAGGTCGATGAAGACGGCTGCACAGTACTGTTTTTTTTTAATCAATCACTGTTATAATATCGCTTAGGACCTTGAGCGTGGCTGAGGTGCACCCATGACCAGCTCGGAAACCAGATTGCATAGCGGAGAAGGTACGGTGATTTTCGAAATGGTCAGTGATCTGTTTGTTAACTTGGCTTTCAAATACTGTCGAAAGGCAGGGCAGAATGGATATAGGTCTGTAACAGTTTGGATCTAGAGTGTCACCCCCTTTGAAGAGGGGAATAACCACGGCAGCTTTCCAATCTCTGGGGATCTCAGACGATACGAAAGAGAGGTTGAACAGGCTAGCAATAGGGGTTGCGACAATTTCGGCGGCTAATTTATGAAAGAAAGGGTCCAGATTGTCTAGCCCAGCTGATTTGTAGGGGTCCAGATTTTGCAGGACTTTCAGAACATCAGCTGTCTGAATTTGGGCGAAGGAGAAGCGGGGGGGGGGGGGGGCATGGGCAAGTTGCAGCAGTGGGTGCAGAGCTGGTGGCCGGGGTAGGGGTAGCCAGGTGGACAGCATGGCCAGCTGTAGCAAAATGCTTGTTGAAATTCTCGATTATCGTAGATTTATCGGTGGTGACAGTGTTTCCTAGCCTCAGTGCAGTGGGCAGCTGGGAGGAGGTGCTCTTATTCTCCATGGACTTTAGTGTCGCAAAACTTTTTGGAGTTAGTGCTACAGGATGCAAATTTCTGTTTGAAAAAGCTAACCTTTGCTTTCCTAACTGATTATGTATATTGGTTCCTGATTTCCCTGAAAAGTTGCATATCGCGGGGGCTGTTCGATGCTAATGCAGTACGCCACAGCATGTTTTTGTGCTGGTCAAGGGCAGTCAAGTCTGGAGTGAACCAGGGGCTATATCTGTTCTTAGTTCTGCATCTTTTGAATGGGGCATGCTTATTTAAGATGGAGAGGAAAGCACTTTTAAAGAACAACTAACATTCCTCTACTGACGGAATGAGGTCAATATCCATCCAGGATACCCGGGCCAGGTCAATTAGAAAGGCCTGCTCGCTAAAGTGTTTTAGGGAGCGTTTGACAGTGATGAGGGGTGGTCGTTTGACCGCGGACCCATTACGGATGCAGGCAATGAGGCAGTGATTGCTGAGATCCTGGCCGAAGACAGCGGAGGTGTATTTAGAGGGTAAATTAGTCAGGATGATATCTATGAGGGTGCCCATGTTTACGGATTTAGGGTTGTACCTGGTAGGTTCCTTGATAATTTGTGTGAGATTGAGGGCATCTAGTTTAGATTGTAGGACGGCCGGAGCGTTAAGCATATCCCAGTTTAGGTCACCAAGCAGTACGAAGTCTGAGGATATGGGGGGCAATCAATTCACTTATGGTGTCTAGGGCACAGCTGGGGGCTGAGGGGGGGCTGTAGCAAGCGACAACAGTGAGAGACTTATTTCTGGAAAGGTGGATTTTTAGAAGTAGAAGCTCAAACTCTTTGGGCCACAGACCTGGATAGTATGATAGAGCTCTGCAGGCTATCTCTACAGTAGATTGCAACTACATCCCCTTTGGCAGTTCTATCTAGACAGAAAATATTGTAGTTGGGGATGCAAATTTCTGAATTTTTGGTGGCCTTCCTAAGCCAGGATTCAGACACTGCTAGAACATCAGGGTTGGCGGAGTGTGCTAACGCGGTGAATAACTCAAACTTAGGGAGGAGGCTTCTGATGTTAACATGCAAGAAACCAAGGCTTTTACAGTTACAGAAGTCAACAATTGATAGCGCCTGGGGAGTAGAAGTGATACTGGGGTCTACAGGGCCTGTCAGAAAGTTGTTTTCATTTCAAGTTAAAGTGGACTGTTAGATAGCTAGCTAACGTTAGCTGGCTGGCTCGCTAGCTAGCGAACGTTACGTGTATGATCTGTGTAGTAATATTATTCGTATCTCAGATACATTTGCATTGCTAGTTATAGCCTAACGTTAGCTAGCTAGCTAACATTGAACCTGGTTGGTTAGCTACCTGCAGATTCATGCAGGGTAGTGACTTTATGAGTTTGGATTATGGTTCAATGTTTAGTTAGCTAGCTGACTAGCTAGCTACATGTCTAAACAAAAGACTCCACTATGCAAGTAACCATTTCACTACTCCTTTTGTATCCTGTGCATGTGACAAATAAACTTTGATTTTATTTGATATAGTATGTGTTTACCAGAGACGGTAATGTGAAGAACATGACCTACACCAAAGTCAACTTAGGGTATAATGTTAGGCCAACGAGACATTGTCCAAGTTCTAAAATGCTCCGGTAGAATGCCCTGCTTTTATTTAGTCACACTCACAACTGTAAGCTATTTTCTGTAATTGGCTCACCAACTTGTAAATAAAGATCTTGTTGTGAGTGTATTTTCCTGTAATAATGAAGACAAATGAGCTAAAGTGAAGATGTTGTCAGACAAATGAGCTAAAGTGAAGATGTTGTCAGCTACAGCGGCTTGCGAAAGTATTCACCCCCCTTGGCATTTTTCCTATTTTGTTTCCTTACAACCTGGAATTAAAATTGTTTTTTGGGGGGGGTTTGTATCATTTGATTTACACAACATGCCTACCACTTTGAAGATGCAAAATATTTTTTATTGTGAAACAAACAAGAAATAAGACAAAAAATCAGAACTTGAGCATGCATAACTATTCACCCCCCCAAAAGTCAATACTTTTTAGAGCCACCTTTTGCAGCAATTACAGCTGCAAGTCTCTTGGGGTATGTCTCTATAAGCTTGGCAAATCTAGCCACTGGGATTTTTGGCCATTCTTCAAGGCAAAACTGCTCCAGCTCCTTCAAGTTGAATGGGTTCCGCTGGTGTCTAACAATCTTTAAGTCAAATGTTTCCCCTTAAACCACTCAAGTGTTGCTTTAGCAGTATGCTTAGGGTCATTGTCCTGCTGGAAGGTGAACCTCCGTCACAGTCTCAAATCTATGGAAGACTGAAACAGGTTTCCCTCAACAATTTCCCTGTATTTAGCGCCATCCATCATTCCTTCAATTCTGACCAGTTTCCCAGTCCCTGCCGATGGAAAAACATCCCCACAGCATGATGCTGCCACCACCATGCTTCACTGTGGGGATGGTGTTCTCGGGGTGATGACATAGCGTTTTCTTTGATGGCCAAAAAGCTCAATTTTAGTCTCATCTGACCAGAGTACCTTCTTCCATATGTTTGGGGAGTCTCCCACATGCCTTTTGGCGAACACCAAATGTGTTTGCTTATTTTTTCCTTTAAGCAATGGCTTTTTTCTGGCTACTCTTCTGTAAAGTCCAGCTCTGTGGAGTGTACGGCTTAAAGTGGTCTTATGGACAGATACTCCAATCTCCGCTGTGGAGCTTTGCAGCTCCTTCAGGGTTATCTTTGGTCTCTTTGTTGCCTCTGATTAATGCCCTCCTTGCCTGGTCCGTGAGTTTTGGTGGGTGGCCCTCTCTTGGCAGATTTGTTGCGGTGCCATATTCTTTCCATTTTTTAATAATGTATTTAATGGCGCTCTTTGGGATGTTCAACGTTAAGGATATTTGATATTTTTTTATAACCCTGCCCTGATCTATACTTCTCCACATCTTTGTCCCTGACCTGTTTGGAGAGCTCCTTGGTCTTCATGGTGCCACTTGCTTGGTGGTGCCCCATGCTTAGTGGTGTTGCAGACACCTTTCAGAACAGGTGTATATATACTGAGATCATGTGACAGATCATTTGACACTTAGATTGCACACAGGTGGACTTTATTTAACTAATTATGTGACTTCTGAAGGTAATTGGTTGCACCAGATCTTATTTAGGGGCTTCATAGCAAAGGGGGTGAATACATAATCACGCACCACTTTTCCGTTATTTATTTTTTAGAATTTTTTTAAACAAGTTATTTATTTATTTTCACTTCACCAATTTTGATTATTTTGTGTATGTCCATTACAGGAAATCCAAATAAAAATCCATTAAAATTACAGGTTGTAATGCAACAAAATAGGAAAAACACCAAGGGGGATGAAAACTTTTGCAAGGCACTGTATATGATATGGTCATTATTTGAACTGGCTAGCCAGCTAACTTAATGTTCTTTAACTCATAAAACATTTTTGAAAATGGCTCATTGTCATTATCCTTGCAAGGGGAAGGTGCTAGAGTATTGAAAACAGGGGTGCCAATAATTTTGAACCCTATCTTTTTCAGATTTGTTAAAAATTACTTTGTCTGAGCAATTGTATTAGTATACAATAATATAATTTCCCATTTTTGTTGCATATAATATAGCTTAGTAATTGAATTCTTTATTTTCTACAGTCTATTTTGCAAAGAAAATGTGCTCAAGCGTGCCAATAAAATATTGACCTGACTGTATTTGGACTAATTAACTAACTGTTGTAGTTTATATTTGGCAGCCATCAAATAAAGATTTTTTTGTTTCTTTTCAAATAACTGATATTATTTGGTTTTCTGAGAAGTATTCAAAATACCTTCAAATATGATTTGGTTTTCTGAAAGACAATGTCAAAGAAAGTATTGCCTTTGAAAACTCAATATTCAACTACCTAAAGTATTTGAAAAGTTGGTATTTTCAAATAAAATACAAAAACATTTGCTCAGGTCTGGTGTGTGTGTGTTAACGTGTGTGTGCATGCTTTTATATGCTTCTCTTTACAGAGGATAAACAGTACAGGTTTCTAGCTCCAGAATGAAGCTGTTCTTATTCAGCACAGAGGAGAGAAAGTAAAATCAACATGCTGACAGTCAACATGTACAGTGGATTCAGAAATTATTCACACCCCTTGACTTTTTACACATTTTGTTGTGTTACAACCTGCATGTATAATGGATTAAATTGAGATTCTGTATACACAAAACCCCATAATGTCAAAGTAGAATTATGTTTTTAGAAATGTTAAAAAGTTTACACAAATTGAAAAGCTGAAATGTGTTGTCAATAAGTATTCAACCCCTTTGTTATGGCAACCCTAAACAAGTAAAAATATGCTGAACAAGTCACATAATAGGTCACATGGACTCAATAATAGTGTTTAACATGATTTTTGAATTGCTACCTCATCTCTGTACCACACACATACAATTATCTGTCAGGTTCTTCAGTCGAGCAGTGAATTTCAAACACAGATTCAACCACAAAGACCAGGGAGGTTTTCCAATGCCTCGCAAAGAAGGGCACCTATTGGTAGATGGGTAAAAAAAAAAAGCAGATATTGAATATCCCTTTGAGCATGGTGAAGTTATTAATTACACTTTGGATGGTGTCCCTACATACTTATTGACTCAAGATATTTAAGCTTTTCATTTTTTATTAATTTGTAAAATATTTGAAAAACATAATTCCACTTTGACATTATTGGGTATTGTGTGTAGGCCAGTGAGAGAACATCTAAATGTAATACATTTTACATTCAGGCTGTAACACAACAATGTGGAAAAAGTCAAGGTTTGTGAATACTTTCTGAAGGCACTGTGTATAAACTAAATATACAAAAGTATGTGGACACCCCTTCAAATGAGTGGATTCGGCTATTTCAGCCTCACCCGTTGCTGACAGGCGTATAAAATCAAGCACACAGCCATGCAATCTCCATAGACAAACATTGGCAGTAGAATGGCCTTACTGAAGAGCTCAGTGACTCTCAAAGTGGCACCGCGTTTGGATGCCATCTATCCAACAAGTCAGTTCGTGAAATTTCTGCCCAGCTAGAGCTGCCCCGTTCAACTGTAAGTGCTGTTATTGTGAAGTGGAAACATCTAGGAGCAACAACGGCGCAGCCGCAACGTGGTAGGCTACACAAGCTCACAGAACGAGACCGCTGAGTGCTGAAGTGCGTAGCGCGTAAAAATCATCTGTCCTCGGTTGCAACACTCACTACTGAGTTCCAAACTGCCTCTGGAAGCAACGTCAGCATAATAACTGTTCGTCGGGAGCTTTATGAAATGGGTTTTCATGACCGAGCAGCCGCACAAATGCCTAAGATCATCATGCGCAATGCCAAGCGTCGGCTGGAGTGGTGTAAACCTCGCTGCGATTGGACTCTGGAGCTTTCTCTGGAGTGATGAATCATGCTTCACCATCTGGCACTCCGACGGACAAATCTGGGTTTGGCGGATGCCAGGAGAATGCTACCTGCCCCAATGCATAGTTCCAACTGTAACGTTTGGTGGAGGAGGAATAATGGTCTGGGGCTGTTTTTCACGGTTCGCGCTAGGCCCCTTAGATCCAGTGAAGGGAATTCTTAACGCTACAGCATACAATGACATTCCAGACGATTCTGTGCTTCCAACTTTGTGGCCCTTTCCTGTTTCAGTATGACAATGTCCCTGTGCACAAAGCGATGTCCATACAGAAATGGTTTGTCGAGATCGGTGTGGAAGAACATGACTGGCCTGCACAGAGCCCTGACCTTAACCCCATTGAACACCTTTGGGGTGAATTGGAACACCGACTGCGAGCCAGGCCTAATTGCCCAACATCAGTGTCCGACCTCACTAATGCTCTTGTGGCTGAATGGAAGCAAGTCCCCGCTGCAATGTTCCAACATCTAGTGTAAAGCCTTCCCAGAAGAGTGGGGGCTGTTATCGCAGCAAAGGGGGGACCAACTCCATATTAATGCCCATGATTTTGGAATCAGATGTTCGACGAGCAGGTGTCCACATACTTTTGTTCATGTAGTGTATATATACTTTAATCTAGTAGTTCATTGGTTTCATGGACATGGCTTGAACCTCATTTGTGTACCTGTCTGTTGGCATCTGAAGGTCCATTCTGCAGAGCCCAGGCAGACAGGGTGTTGAATCCTTTAACCACCTCAGCTCCAGGGACCAGGCTGCTCAGGTACATATATCCACATTTACAGTACAGCAACATACACATACTGTAGATACACATCAACATATAAAAACATTCCTAATTAACAAAAAAACATACACATAATAACAACAACACACTGTATAGCTCTCACCTTTGCAGGTACTCCGCATTGGCCTCTGGGTACTGATTCTTCCTCAGGTTGTTACTGAGGTCCACCAACACCTGCAATTCAACTATACAGTTACATATTGACAAACCAGACATTCATAGATACAGTGAAGGAAAAAAGTATTTGATTCCCTGCTGATTTTGTACGTTTGCCCACTGACAAAGAAATGATCAGTCTATAATTTTAATGGTAGATTTATTTAAACAGTGAGAGACAGAATAACAACAAAAAAATCCAGAAAAAACGCATGTCAAATGTTATAAATTGATTTGCATTTTAATGAGGGAAATAAGTATTTGACCCCCTCTCAATCAGAAAGATTTCTGGCTCCCAGGTGTCTTTTATACAGGTAACGAGCTGAGGTTAGGAGCACACTCTTAAAGGGAGTGGTCCTAATCTCAGCTTGTTACCTGTATAAAAGACACCTGTCCACAGAAGCAATCAATCAATCAGATTCCAAACTCTCCACCATGGCTAAGACCAAAGAGCTCTCCAAGGATGTCAAGGACAAGATTGTAGATCTAAACAAGGCCGGAATGGGCTACAAGACCATCGCCAAGCAGCTTGGTGAGAAGGTGACAACAGTTGGTGCGATTATTCGCAAATGGAAGAAACACAAAATAACTGTCAATCTCCCTCGTCCTGGGGCTCCATGCAAGATCTCACCTCGTGGAGTTGCAATGATCATGAGAACGGTGAGGAATCAGCCCAGAACTACACGGGAAGATCTTGTCAATAATCTCAAGGCAGCTGGGAGCATAGTCACCAAGAAAACAATTGGTAACACACTACGCCGTGAAGGACTGAAATCCTGCAGCGCCTACAAGGTCCCCCTGCTCAAGAAAGCACATATACATGCCCGTCTGAAGTTTGCCAATGAACATCTGAATGATTCAGAGGAGAACTGGGTGTAAGTGTTGTGGTCAGATGAGACCAAAATGGAGCTCTTTGGCATCAACTCAACTCGCCGTGTTTGGAGGAGGAGGAATGCTGCCTATGACCCCAAGAACACCATCCCCACCGTCAAACATGGAGGTGGAAACATTATGCTTTGGGGGTGTTTTTCTGCTAAGGGGACAGGACAACTTCACCACATCAAAGGGACGATGGACGGGGCCATGTACCGTGAAATCTTGGGTGAGAACCTCCTTCGCTCAGCCAGGGCATTGAAAATGGGTCGTGGATGGGTGTTCCAGCATGACAATGACCCAAAACACACGGCCAAGGCAACAAAGGAGTGTCTCAAGAAGAAGCACATTAAGGTCCTGGAGTGGCCTAGCCAGTCTCCAGACCTTAATCCCATAGAAAATCTGTGGAGGGAGCTGAAGATTCGAGTTGCCAAACGTCAGCCTCGAAACCTTAATGACTTGGAGAAGATCTGCAAAGAGGAGTGGGACAAAATCCCTCCTGAGATGTGTGCAAACCTGGTGGCCAACTACAAGAAACGTCTGACCTCTGTGATTGCCAACAAGGGTTTTGCCACCAAGTACTAAGTCATGTTTTGCAGAGGGGTCAAATACTTATTTCCCTCATTAAAATGCAAATCAATTGATAACAATTTTGACATGCGTTTTTCTGGATTTTTTTGTTGTTATTCTGTCTCTCACTGTACAAATAAACCTACCATTCAAATTATAGACTGATCATGTCTTTGTCAGTGGGCAAACGTAGAAAATCAGCAGGGGATCAAATACTTTTTTCCCTCACTGTATAGCAGAAGTAATAAAATATATATGCTACCTTCCCCTTTAGCTGATTGGCCAGTGGTACGAGGAAGTCGTAGTGTTCTCTCTGGACAGCGATGAAGATCAGATGGGCTGACTGGGCAGCTGCAGCATGGCCCAGGACCTGCATATACATCATCAACATATTGATACACACATAAACACACATACAGTATATTCACATATACTCCTTCAAACATAAACAAATATATTCAAATACATTTACAACACAGTAAAAACACATATCCACATTTAACATATTACCACATGAAACCAGATCTACTTTATTTTGTACCTGTGCTCTGTGTGGTAGGAGGCTGCTGCTGTGGGGCCGTCGGCTGCCGAACACCACCCCGTACCCCGCCTGCAGCAGACGCAGGCCCAGAGAGCGCCCCATGTCCCCCGTCCCAAACACACACACCCTCTCATACTCAAGTGGGGCAGGGACAGCCTCCCTCATCGGAGACAGGGACACACACTCACTCTTCTCACTCCTCTCCTGACCCGTCATGCCTGAACAGAGACAGGCAAAGATCTCCTCAAGTCAACAGAAAGTGTCAGAAAGACCAAAGAGTTTAAAATACCTTCCTGAAGTTGCAATTACAGAAAAAGCACATCCACATAAATGGAGCTCGCAGGATGAACGTCCCTTTCACTTCGCAAGGTTTTTCAGCAGACACCTCTAGACGGAGTGTTACAGTCCAGACAGAGCACTGTCAATCAATGCTAGGACAGCTTACTGTTCTCTGCATTACATGTCACAAAACAATAGTCTTCAGAGTTGGAGCAGCTCCTCTGAGTTATCAAGAGGAATGTCTGACTGAGACACTACTGACTGAGTGTCTATTTGTGTCTGGGCACGGTCCTGGAGGGAGGAGGGAAGGGAGTAGTCTCTCTGCCAAGCTGGAAACTCCGTTCGAAGAGGGTGTGTTTTTGCTTGTGTATTTGTGTGTGTGTGTGTGTGCAGGAAAGCCCATGGCACTCACTCTGTAGTGTTTCTGGGAAGCAGGGAATTACATAATAGTGGAATACCAGACCGGGAGAGATGCCAGATCACTGTGGTCTTTCTGGGTTCACACGAGCACAGGTCCTTTCACAGTTCAGGACAATAACACAACAGCAGCTGCACTTTGGTTTGTTGTAATACTACCGTCTTCATAAGCTGCCTTACCTCAGATGGCTTTTGCTCAAAGATGTGACAACATTCTATTGTGTGCAACAATAAGCTTGTAACTCCACAAAGCACAGAATGTGAAATACCAGAAGAAATGTGTCACATCACCATGAACAGTGTTTCCCAAAAACAGCAGGTCAAATGTGGCTTGAAACACTGGTTTCATCAAAGCAATAAAAATCTAAATGCTTGAATTGGTGTCAGAGCACAGTAGAATTAGTGAACCCAAGCTTTAGACTGGGCTTAGTTTACAGTAAACCAGTAACTGTGCATGGGTAAAATCACTGGGGAAGGAAGCAAAGCCAGAAGAAAAGCCATATTACAACCTATGTGTTGTAATAATTGTGTTGTTTGCTCTCTAACCTGTTAGGTCATATGCCTTGCGACCGTGATATATAGGCCTAAGGCCGAGACAATAAGATGACACAGTGGCAGAATAAATTCAATCACACCTTTGTTTCATCACAAAACCGGAGAGCAACCTCTGTCTGGTGAAGTCCACAAAGCATATTACATGTAACAAACCGTTACGTGGCCTAAAGAATGGTCAAGTAAGTTAATGTTTCCGACATTTTCGGATTACTAAACAACTATTGATTTAGAACCACAGAGAGTTACCGCAAGTTGCAAAGAAAACAGGAGCTGCCTCTACTATGAATGCGTTCTTGTTGATTGGAGAGTGTGTGTGTGTGTGAGTGTGTGTGGAAAGAAAGATGTCTCTGCTGTGTTTGAGCTGTGTGGATTGTGCAGAGATTTATATGCTCGACTCATGCTATGATAAGATTTTATGTTAGATATATATACATATATATGTTTTGGTTGAGAACAGGGGTTTTAGTTTTTTGTAAGGAAGTCTGTTAATTACGGTTAAAACCTTATGAGTCTCCATTTGAGAGAACGTTTTCAAATGTGTTAAAATCTATGAACCCCCGGGAGGACGTTATGATTGTATAGAGAGGATTTGTAATGGATAAGCAAATAAGTATACGTCTGCACATTAGAGTGGAATAAGTGAAGAAAGAAGAGAGAGAAAATAGACTATAGTAAAGTAAGAAACTTCGAAGTAGGATTTGTGTTCTATGTTTTGTGTTGGTTTGTGCGTTTTGTTCAGTGTTACTGTTTGTCTGTGTGGTAAATGTGGTTTGTTGGAAAAAACGGAGGGACAGCTGGTCTGTCTGCTGTTTGACTTAGAGAAAAATTACTTGCAGGAGTACTCATCTCACTCTGAAGTCACACTAATAAATGAACTGCGCATGTGTGGAATTCTAGGAGTTTACAGTTACACAGAACGAATAGGCCACTCCCCTGCCTGCACTGAGCTGCTGTGGCACGCAGACTTATAGATGCAAAGAGAAGGAGGGGGAGACTTGATGTGACACTCTGGCTCCATGGACTTTATTATTGAGCCAGGGTTGTTCATTTTCATTGTTTGGGTGTATTTCTATGTTGGGGATTTCTGGTTGTGCATTTCTATGTTTGGGTTAATTGTTCTTTATTAGTCATATGACTCCCAATCGGAGGTAACGAGTGTCAGCTGTCGGCTCGTTATCTCTGATTGGGAGCCATATTTATACTGTGTGGTTTCACCTGGGTTTTTGTGGGTTTTTGTTTCCTTGATCCTGTTTAGTCAGTGTCAGATTTGGACTTCACTTTCGTCATTTTGGTTTGTTGTTTTTATCGTGGTTTCTTTAATTAAATAAAGTCTACGATGTTTGCTCAACACGCTGCGCTTTGGTCTCCTCCTTTCGACGATCGTGACAGAAAAACCCACCATAAAAGGACCAAGCAGCGCGTCCAGGAGCAAAGGGTCTGGACATGGAAGGAACTGTTGGACGGTAAAGGGTCCTGGACTTGGGAGGAGATCCTGGAGGGTATGGATCGCCGTCCATGGAGCGAGACGGTGGAGAGGCGACGGCGAGAGGAGCAACGGCGTCGGCAGAGCCAACGTCGGAAGGACGAGAGGCAACCCCAAGAAATTTTTTGGGGGGGGCACATGGCTTGGGCGACTGAGCAGCAGGAGGCTGCCACAAGGCAGATGCAGAAGGCTACCAGGTTAAGGGGGCTGACGGAGGCAGAGAAGGGACGGATTCAGGAGGCTACCAGGTTAAGGGGGCTACTGGGTAAAGCAGGGAAGGAAGGTGTAGAGGCTCGGCGAGAGGTACTGGGGTGTGTAACCAGTCCGGTCCGGCCCGTTCCTAATCCCGAGGTACAGCCAGTAGTGTGTGTTCCCCGTACGGTACGGCCTGTTCCGGCCCCTCGCACTAAGTGTACGGTGCGCGTCGCCAGCCCGGTTCGGCCTGTTCCTGCCACCCGCACCAAGTGTACGGTGCGCGTCGCCAGCCCAGCCCGGCCTGTTCCTGAGCCTCATACGAAGCCTACGGTGCGCGTCGCCAGCCCAGCCCGGCCTGTTCCTACTCCCCGAACCAGGGATACGGTGCGCTTCGTCAGCCCAGCCCGGCCTGTTCCGGCCACTCGCACCAGGGATACGGTGCGCGTCGCCAGCCCAGCCCGGCCTGTTCCTACTCCCCGCACCAGGGATACGGTGCGCTTCGTCAGCCCAGCCCGGCCTGTTCCGGCCACTCGCACCAGGGATACGGTGCGCGTCGCCAGCCCAGCCCGGCCTGTTCCTACTCCACGCACCAGGGATACGGTGCGCTTCGCCAGCCCGGCCAGGCCTGTTCCGGCCTCTCGCACCAGAGATACGGTGCGCGTCGCCAGCCCAGCCCGGCCTGTTCCTGCTCTCCGCACTAGGCCTCATGTGCGTCCCCAGGGTCCAGCATGCCCTGTTGCTGCTCTCCGCACTAGGCCTTATGTGCGTCCCCAGGGCCAAGCAGGCCCTGTTGCTGCTTCCCGCACTAGCCCTGAGATGCGTGTCCTCAGCCCGGTACCTCCAGTTCCGGCACCACGCATCAGGCCTACGGTGCGTCCCCAGGGCCAAGCATGCCCTGTTGCTTCTCCCCGCACTAGCCCTGAGATGCGTGTCCTCAGCCCGGTACCTCCTGTTCCGGCACCACGCACCAGGCCTACGATGCGCCTCAGACGGCCAGAGTCTGCCGTCTGCCCAACGGGGCCTGAACTGTCCGTCTGCCCAACGCCGTCTGAACTGCCCGTCTGCCCAACGGCGCCTGAACTGCCCGTCTGCCCAACGCCGTCTGAACTGTCCGTCTGCCAAGCGCCGCAGGAGCTGCCCGTCGGTACTGAGCCTGCAAAGCCGCCCGTCTGCCATGAGCCTTCAGAGCCGTCCGCCAGACCGGAGCCGCTAGAGCTCTCCACCAGACAGGAGCAGCCAGAGCCTTCCGCCAGACAGGATCAGCCAGAGCCTTCCGCCAGACAGGAGCAGCCAGAGCCTTCCGCCAGACAGGATCAGCCAGAGCCTTCCGCCAGACAGGATCAGCCAGAGCCTTCTGCCAGACAGGATCAGCCAGAGCCTTCTGCCAGCCAGGATCCGCCAGAGCCGTCCAGCCAGGATCCGCCAGAGCCGTCCAGCCAGGATCCGCCAGAGCCAGCCAGCCAGGATCCGCCATTCAGTCCGGTGCTGCCCCTTAGTCCGGTGCTGCCCCTTAGTCCTGTGCCGCCCCTTAATCCAGTGGGGTTTAGTGGGGGGGTGGTCATGTGGAAGGGGCTACGGAAGCGGAAAGTGACTAAGGTGGGGTGGGGACCACGACCTGGACCAGAACCGCCACCATGGACAGACGCCCACCCAGACCCTCCCCTAGACTGTATGCTGGTGCGCCCGGAGTGCGCACCTTTAGGGGGGGGTACTGTGGACACTCTGGCTCCATGGACTTTATTATTGAGCCAGGGTTGTTCATTTTCATTGTTTGGGTGTATTTCTATGTTGGGGATTTCTGGTTGTGCATTTCTATGTTTGGGTTAATTGTTCTTTATTAGTCATATGACTCCCAATCGGAGGTAACGAGTGTCAGCTGTCGGCTCGTTATCTCTGATTGGGAGCCATATTTATACTGTGTGGTTTCACCTGGGTTTTTGTGGGTTTTTGTTTCCTTGATCCTGTTTAGTCAGTGTCAGATTTGGACTTCACTTTCGTCATTTTGGTTTGTTGTTTTTATCGTGGTTTCTTTAATTAAATAAAGTCTACGATGTTCGCTCAACACGCTGCGCTTTGGTCTCCTCCTTTCGACGATCGTGACACTTGAGTACACACAAATAAAGTATTCTGTTTGTTAAGCGGCTGTTGCTTGACTATGAAACTATTTGATTGAGATCCATTGAATTTATAAATGAGAGCTATGTTAACGGAATAAAAAAATTGAAATAACAAAAAAAAAAAATATGTTATTGCGCTAATTAAAATATTCCTGAGTTAAGCTGCTTGCTTATTTCTTAGCGCAATTGTGAACATAGGTATGTCTAAAAGGATAAGAAAACATATATGGTGATTACTCCAATAGTTTAATATCTGTATTGTATGGTTGAAATAACCCAGTGAGTACATAAAATATTAAATTGTTGTCTGTTTCTTTTGTTCTCCTGTGGTGTGAGAGACGAGAAGGAGGAGGTGCTGACCAGTGTGTGCTGTCCCGGATCCAGTCCAATTAAGGCCAGTACTGTTCTATCCACAAACTTACTTTCCCTTACAGGATATTATAGACACATTTCTCGATGAAGGGCATTTATCTGTTTGTGTATGC